TGCTGTCACATAGCTGTGTTTATTTCCAGCACCAGTCTGCTTGTACCGGTTCTGACAGTCTCTTCGCTTGCGGATTTCTTATTTTTCCTTCTACCCTGAAGATGGAGGCGATACGTTCCTCCGAAACGTCGGTTAACACCACCTCTACACGGTGCCACATCCCAGAAGACTGCTTTCTTCATAGTCACCATCATGAAAACCTCAAATCTTACATACAGTAATAGATGTTGGAAAATATGCAGCTTTTGGTATGGTGATTTTTTTTGTAGAGTGTAATATGACAAACATGGTGACCATGAAATTTTTTTTCCATAGTTTATGGTTTGATGGTGATATCTAATGAACTGTCAGAGCTAGGCATGTGAAATTTTGTATGAAAATATATCTTAAAAATACCTTGAGTTCCTGTGTGAAGTATTGTTTGTAACTCAGCAGTTACAAGGTAGCAGTAGTACAAAACTTTGAACTTAAGGAAGAAATTCTTGACAAAAATAAAATAACAGTAGCAATAGTAATAGAACTGTAGGACTGATAAAATTATGCGATAGAAAACAGGCTCTGTGGGTTCCATTCAGACCTCTTGGTTAATACAGTGTGATGACTACTAAGTGCTTGGAAAAATGTGCTGGCTCTTCTTTCATGGGAGAATGCTGCCACTAAAATAAACACTGTTCAGGGTTTATTCGTTTTTCATTCTAACCATTTTTACCATCATTTGACCATTCGTAATTTCCCTTAAGCTGTCTCTGGGTTTGTTAACAAAGAAAGTTGGTGGTAGAATCTCATGATGCATACTTGAATGTAACAGAAAATGATGCTGTGTAAATCATAGAAGTGTCAGGGTTAGACTACATTTTTATGCAAGTCTCACACATACCACTATTCCAAAAGATATTTTTCAATATATAGATGTATTATTTTAATGTTAAAATTGCAAACTTACTATCATGGTATATTATATATTTTTTTCACACACATATATATATATATATTCATTCATCAGTAATCTGTCAGACGACAGGTCCACAGTCTTCTGAAACAGTTCCTCCACTTAATGCAATCTAGAGCTTTCTCCTTCAAATGAGAATATCCTCTTCTGTCCCCAAGGTCATCCAGCATCTTCTTATGTCTTCTTCCTCATCTTCTGGTCACTTCTATCTGCCCCTCTGTCTTTCCTTCAATAACTTCTTTTAGAAGGCAGTTACTGCGTAAGATATGACCAATCCAATTAGACTTCTGTTTTCTTATTTCATGTAGGTTATTCCTCTGCTCACTGACTTAAAACACTTCTTCATTTCTCACATAATCGGTCCAACTGATCTTCTCCATCCTTCTCCAACACCACATTTCGAAGCTTTCCAGGTGTTTCTGATCTACTGCCCTAAGTGTCCAAGTTTCAGCCCCATACAAAGC